TCAGCCAATCATATATTTTTAATTGATCAGCTGGTCAATTAAAAAACCGGGAGGACGGTTTTCCAAATGGGGTTCACTTTTTTTTAATTGACCAGCTGATCAATTAAAAATATATGATTGGCTGACCACCCCCCTCCCCTTTCCCTTCCCCAACCACCACAAGGGAAGGCATATAAGGACTACCCCTAGACATCGGAGCTCAGAATCGGAGCTCATAGCCCTGAAGATGCAGACTGCAATGTTTGCGAAACGTCGGCGCAACGCTGAATCCGAACGCGGCATCCATCCGGAAGCCAAAGATTTCAAGGTATTTCTTTCCTACATTTATTTATAATTCATGCTCCGATTCGATTTGAGAATTTCATGAGAAAATCAAATGTTCAAATTACCCGCGTAAAATAACCTCAGAAATAAACTCGCGCACGTGTTATTCACGGACTGAGTTGAAAATCTAAATTAATCGAGGATAGGAGAAAAATTTCTATGCAATATACAGCGCTATATGATCTTGTTCATCAATTTTTCATTAATTTTTACAATAAGTCGATAATGAGTTCAAAAAATGCAAATCAGTAGAATTCAAGAAGGAGAGAGAAAGAGTAATGCGCTATTCAAATCTCCCTCCTCTGCGCGTGAGGTTGGAGCGCACTACTACCAACTTCGAAAACGAAATCTCACACTTACTGTCGGACTGAGGAGATTATAGCCCTGAGTGTCAGAGGTGGGAGGCAACGATTGTAGTAGGGATTGGGAAAAGTGGGGGTAAATTTGAGGACCACAATCTCCTCAGTTCAACCATAGTACTCAGAGATAATGTGAAATGCAAGAATGTGGATATGATCCCGTTGCTATGCGCATAATTTCCTTAATATTGAGTCGAAAAAGAAAATAGTGATATCAATGGAAAGCTCGTGGCCGATTTATGTGATGTAACTCAGGCTATTTTTTTCGTAGGGTATCACGTTTTCATTTTATTCAATAAATGTGTTTCGAAGGTAGTGGAGGGGTTAGTTGCTTCATGTACAGATACCCGGTAGCAAGCGGCGAGTTTCAAAACTTTTCTTGGCCGATACGCTACCGCGTATCTCGATCTTCTCGTTTCGTCTCGGCCTTGTTTCGGTGTGGCTTCGGTCTCGTGAGTATAAAAAGTGGAAAATAGGAGAAGGATCATAAATCGAGCAAATATACTTTTCAGCACTAAGCCCGATGGATCACGATTTAATCGAGCGAAGCGACGTTAAAATCGCGGTTTTCGGCCCAAAACAATATAATTCAATTTCAACTTCACTAGCATCTGTCACAATGATGGTAACATCGCCATTTCATGCGAAGAACGAACTTGGCGATTTCTCACGAAGATCGCTGGCATTTGAAATTGCCTCGTTCAATTGTGATCTCTCTCGTCCCCCTTCTTGAGACTAGTTTAACCCTCCTGCAGTTGCACGTCTTCGTCGGATGTCGTTGGGCGCGGAGTAAGCGCTGCGCCGTCCGTACATTCTCGAGCGCAGCGTTGCCAGAGCCATCCGATACTATAAACATATCACCGGCCAGCAACCCCCCACTCCGCACACGCTGCTTGGGACTACCACGAGGGTCGACAACACCGCTCGTCGAATTTCCACTACGAGAGTGGTCGCACGGTGAGCGCTGCGCTCATTCTCGCTATCGCGCTCGACAAAAAAATTAATTGAGAAAAAACTTGTCAGTGCAGGGCAACCCTACCGTGTTTAATCTCATCAGAACATATCATTTGAGGAACTCTTAAATAGGCAGAGCGTAATTCATCATATTTCTAGAGATATCATGAAAATAACAAAAACGGTGGCGTTCAGACCATAGCGCGACCACTGGAGGGTTAAACTTCAATTTCAGCTTCACTAGCATTTGTCACAATGATGATAACATCTCGATTTAATGCGAAGAACGAACTTAGAGATTTCTCGCGAAGATCGCTGGCATTTGAAAATACCCAATGACGTAAAATACACGGCCGTGAATAACTTTTCTACCTGATATGATTACAGAACTCGAAAAGTTCCTCACGGCCTAGCGTCGAAATGTACTGATTCTGACCCGTGCAAGGCTCACAGTGCTACCTAACATGGATCAGAACGGTACTTTATGCACTCGTATCGAAAACTACTAATTTCTTTTGATGAATTTCTCATTGTAATAGAAATCGAATGTAAAGTTTTGCAGAACACATCAGACAGATTTACCTCTGGTCCTTCTTCGGAATCATTGGACTCAACATGTTCATATTGAGCGCAACCGGTGTACAGGTAAAAAAGTCAAATTTTAATAAATCCATTGAGATGATTTTACCTCATATCACTGACTTGAATTAAACAATGCTGATGGCGAAAAATATGCGCGATATGGAGAAACTTCTCAAATTTGCTGTGAGCCTGGCAGGCCAGCTGTTGCATCTTTTCGTCGAGTGTTTCCTGGCGCAGCGAGTGATGGACGCCAGTTTTAACCTCATGAAGACTCTGTATGCTCAGATTATTCCTCCATGATTTATGAAATTAACTGCATTTAAAAATTTAGGACAAACTCGAAGTGGTATGACGCTTCTCTTAAGACGCGTAAAACTATACCTCTGATGCTTATGAGAGCTCAAAGTCCAGTGATTTTGACTGCTGGAACCCTGATTCCTATGAACATGAATACTTTTGCTGTGGTGAGATGATGAATTCCCTCTTTTCCATCATTTCTATTGAACTTATAACTTTTTTGCCAATTTATTGCAGGTGGTGAAGACTGCAGTATCTTATTTCACAGTATTATTGGCTATGCAGTAGGATCATGTGATTTTACACTTCAGTTTTTTGGCGTTGAAAAGTTTAGGAACGGAACAGAGAAAATTAAAATGTTATTATGAAAGTCGAATAGCTATGTGTAACACTTCAAATGAAAAGATTGTAATATCTTCAATTTTGCAATTTTTCGTCCGCCTCGAATCACTGGATTACAATGCAGTATTCTGGGAAATAAGTCATAAATCACACGTATTTTTTTTTTTAATTCTATTTGAAATTTTTTTGGGAGATACACCCATACTTACGCATGCGCGAAGATGCACTATGCATCCAAAAAAAGTCGGTCTGAAGCAGACCGAAAAATCGGTCCTCTTCGGAATCTTTATACATGGGGGGGGCGGTTGTATATCCAGAAATTAGTGGTAAAACATAGTTTGCCGGGTCAATTCATTTGTTCGACCTTTAGTATTCAAAACCATCTTTAAAATGGTTTGATAATGATTGGTATAATTCGAATATCATCAAAAGTACTATGTACTACTTTGCTGCAAAACGTATAAGTCGTGGGGTCATGAGTGAACTATTGTTGTGATCATTTCTTATTATATCCATCAGTTTTTTACAGTAAATTTCAATGGATATGAGGTGTTCCTTCTTCAACTTCGTCGTACCTTCTTACGACTATACAATAAATTTAATTTCATATGGATATACATTCATTTTAAAGAATTAAAATTATTTTCTATCAATGAGATAACCAAGTTTTTAAAGGAACCAATAGTTACTGGTGAAGAATTCAATCCTCACCAACTCTTGGCGTGACCCAGGACCCCGGGATGAAAAATTTGAGTCTTTTTGGGGTCTGCAAGACTCGCGTCTGCGTCTATGAGAGAGTATGGCTCAGCGCCAGTAGCCATACTTTTGAGAGACTCTGCGTGGGAGATGCAGCAAGACTGCCGAGAGACTGCTACCGAGCGTCTCTCGGCGAGAGGCTCCGCGTCCCTTACGTATCTCAATAATTAATTAATCACTAATAACTCCTTCAATTTCATTTTTGGAAAATAATTGAAAATATTAATGTAGTTAATTCACAAATTGAACAATTATAAAACAAAAAAAAAGAAATCGGTTCAGCGGTTCTCCAGATGTTCCCTCCCGGTCGATCCGCCGTGTTCCCTTTCGGTCACCCATCCTTTTACTAACCCAACTCGCTACTGCTTAGCTTCAGTGATCGCAGGTTACCCCGGTATCTTCTGCGCTATACAGCTGCTTGTGGCGAGTCAAATTTGTTTTCGCTTGATATGCGCAATTATTGAGAGGGAGAAGATAGGGGAAGCATTGACGAAGGTGAACAGTGGGATAATATGGGATAACGGAGAGGGGCGCATGATAAGGGAAACTGGAATTAAATGGGGCAAAATGGGATACTGGGGTGGAGTGAACCAACTGGACAGCGGGGTAAAATGGAAAGCAGTTGTGCCATTTACTCGTGGGGTAAAACGGGAAAGCAGGTTAGTTAGAGTGGGGCAAAATGGGATAGCGGTTAAATGAACCCATAAAGTAAGCCGGAACGGTGAGTTACTCCGACAGTGGGGTAAATGGGATAACGGGGTGACTTGGAGTAGGGGTTGAATCCGAAAGCGAATTAATTTAATTTTTCAATTTTTGTACTTTTTCAATTTACTTTTCTAATTTTTTTATTTATGGTTGGGTAAATTGAATGATGGAATGAAATTAGATGGTCGAGTGTAGAATTGAATTTCCGAGTAAACAGGACGAGAATGCTATTCACTGCTCAGATTGTGGGGTAAAATGGGGTGAACTAAATGACAGGCTAATTAGCCGGAGGGGTAAATTGGGCGGCAGGTAAATTAAATACGGGTGTTTAGTGGGATGATCGGGTAAAATCGATAGCGGGGTAAAATGGGTGAGTCTGGCTAATATGAGGGTGGGGTAAAACAGGATGGTGGGGTACAATGAAACAGCCTAGCAAATTAGACGATAGTCAAATTTGACCGGCGACGAAATAGGACAACAAGGTGAATTGATAATGGGATAAAGGAGTAAGACAGAATAAGGGTTTAAAGCGGATCCGCCTCAACCCGTTATTCCATCTTATCCCGCTATCCCATTTTACCCCATAGCCAGGTTAGTGCGCCGACCAATTCACTTTGTTGTCCTATTTCACCTCCCCCCGGCCCAAATTCACTCATGGTCCAGGCTGTTCCATTCTACCTCACCTTCCCGTTTTACCCCACTAGCTAATTAGCCTGTCATTTAGTTCACCACTCATTCCATTTTAACCCACGATATAATTCGTCCATCACCCGCGATCACCAGATTATCTTATCTTGCTCCGTCGTCCAATTTATTATCCCCCCCCCCCACCATCCTTTGTACTATATTATACTTGCTCCAGTGTCTATTTAATTAACAATTAATGAATCAATAATTAATTTTAGCGAGATCCTGATTATCAGTCCCGAAAATTCTAAGTCCCTATCTTTCAATGAGAGACTCTAGTCTCTACCGTGTTGGCAAAGATTCAGATAGACTCGAGTCTCTCACCAAAGACTCCGAGACGCGAAACCGATTACGGAAGACCCAGGCAGACTGATTTTAGTCTTTCACAGTCTTGGAGAGATCCAATAGACTAAAAATTTTTACCCCGGGACTCACGACGAGGACGTAGTTAGTGGAGAGTCCCAAAAAAAAATATATAAAATTTTTTATTAATTACGTATATTCAAATTTAATCGATGGCCTGTGGTATCGGTGTACCATAGATTACCCAACGATTTGCAATCATTCTCTGCTTTCAGAATTTATTAATGTTTACATGTCCCCGCTAACCAGTCTAAACCGAAATCAGTACAACCCCTCCCGTAGACGACTTAGTTCGTTGGTAAGTTTTTCAAGGATATCTCCAGAACTAAGGGAGATAGAGAATTGTGAACTGAAAAATTTGAGGTGGGGTTCTCAATTTTCTTGGTTGTGAATTCTCAATGCACGGTCCACCCACCCCCCTCCAAATTTTTCAGTAAAAGTTCACTATTTCAGGAAAACAATCAGGAAATTACGAAAATTTTCTAGAATTTAAAAACTAAAAATTTGGTTTCTCCACATGTACCAATTTTTCGGATTTTTTTGCTCACAATGCAGGTGAAGGAGTAGAAATTGAATGAAAAGTATGGCCCAAAATGTATTTTTAAAATGAAACCGAAAAATGAAGTTGACATCAATAATATTTATCCACCACATTAATGCTCCATAAGAAAAATCATATTGGAATTGCTTCTGTAATCTATAATGGTATATAAACAATTCTTTATAATGACATATGCTTAGTAGAGACAATCACATTCTGATTACCTTTCTAATCAAAATGGCGCGAAATGTATTTTTCATTAGCTTGTTATTATTTAGAAGTTCTTGGCTCCCAAGAACTTGGTTCGCGATCTTCAGCTGATTTGAAGGAGATAAGAATATTTAAAGTGTTCTAACGATAAACACACACACACACACACGAACATCCTCCTAAAAACTTCATAGAAAGTTTCTAGAGGTCATGAAACCTGAAAATATAAAATTTCCGGTTTCAACTTTTGGGTCCATTACAATAACTATCCGATATAAATCGGAAAGTTAAAAATTTGGAAATTCGGCATTGATTATTTGCTTTTTTTCAGTCAACGTGACATCTTTTACAGTTTTCAAAAATCAAAGTGGAGGTCAGCTTCCTTCTATTTAGAAGTGATTTTGTTTTTTCATTCATCGCCTTTCAATTTCTTCATTTTTTTGCTTCCAAAAGATCGGCAAATAGTTAATTTCTTCATAAATGGGAACCTTTTGAAGGTGAAAAAAAAGCCGATGAAAAACAAAGAGAAAGTGGAGGAAAAGTTTGACAAAGATTAATTTTGCGCAAATCAGAGCGCACTCCAATTTTTGTATATATTAGACGGAGAAAAGAAAAAAAATTTCCACCGAAGGGGGTAATTAAAATACGAAACTACGATGCGGAATCATCATTTTTTCCCGGGATTAAGGCAGTTCCGATGGTGTACGGTTATTGGAAGTATGTGTATCGAACAGGCAATACTCCCGAGCTAACGATTAAGCGCACTCAGGGAAATTTACGACTAATATGAGATGATTGGTCATTTATTATTAATTTGGAAGGAATTGAAAGATTCATTCTTGGTTTTGTGATCAATAGCTTGGTTTAATTCAAGATTTATATCATTATTCATGTGAAAACGATGACTTCATCGGAAAATATGGTATGGTTGAGCTTCTCTCGGCAAGATATACAACTTTTGTAGGGGTGAAAAATGTTGTTGCCATTTAACAAAACTGACTTCATGCTCGCAGCATAGAGACATAAGCAATGGAGGTCTAGATTCTATCCGTATTGAATTCCCCCTTCCCCGAACTCAACAACTTATATTTGAACAATTTTATTGTCTCCCGCTTCCTAATACACAAAACATATCAAGCTGCACTGTTTCAAATGGAATACCCTGCATACACACATCGTTTTTATGCCAATATCTCCTATTACTCGACTCCATACCCGGGTAGAAATTCAACCGGGGATTCAGCCGCAACTCGGGTGAGCGCGAGCCCCGGGTAGAAATCACGCCGCTCGAGCTCGGCTCGGAACCCGTATCCCAGCTAGAAATACGCCACTCCGCCCCAGCTTGGGATAAACTTCACGCGCGTCACATGTACCCGAGGTTGAGCCGCGTCACGCGCTCACAGCCCAGCGTTAGACTGTTACGCGAAACGCTTCGCCGGGCTTTAGTTGAATGGCCACTGCTCAATCTCAGGTTCATCTCCAATTACTCAATCCCAGTATACTTAACCTCAATAATGATTTGACAGGTCCGATGGCATCGTGATTTGAGCGAAAAAACAATCGAATAAATGTGAAGATGGCATGCTTTTTCAGATGAACAATCACAAGCTCATCAGAAATAACGTGATATTA